GGCTGTGTCACTGTAATATGCTGATTTTAAGTCTTTTGGGTGTTAACTGAAGTGGGATAGCTGGGTCAAATGGTGGATCCATTCCAAGTTTTCTGAGGAATCGCCACAGAGATTCTGAGGCTTTCCATAGTGTTTGCACCAATTTGTAGTCCTACCAGCAATGTATGCATGTTTCTCTTTTCCCACATCCTTGCCAAAATTTGTTGTTACTTGTATTCTTGATAATTGCCATTTTGACCGGAGTGAGATGAAATCTCAGTGTAGTTTAATTTGCATTCCCTAATTGCTTCTGATGTTGAATATTTTTTCATATATCTGTTGGCCATTTGTACTTCTTTAAAGAAATGTCTGATAAATTAATTTACGTATTCATTAATTGGGTTATTTGGTTTTTTTTTTAGTGCTAAGTTTTTTGAGTTCTTTGTACATTCTAGATAATCCTTTGTAAGAAGAGTAGATAGCAACAGGTTTTCCCATTCTGTAGGATTTTTTCTTCACATTCTTAGTTGTTTCCTTTGCTGTACAGAAGTTTTTTAATTTGATGCCATCCCACTTATTAACACTTGGCATTATTATCTGAACTTTAGGTGTTCTATTGAGAAAGTCATTGCCTATGCCTATCCATTGGGAGTGTTGATACTATGCTTTCTTCTAGGAGTTGCATAGTTTCTCATCTAATTCCTAGGGTTTTGATCCATTTTGAGTTGACTTTGGTGCAGAGTGAGAGATGAGGTTCTAGTCTCATTCTTCTATATATGGATATCCAATTTTCCTAGCATCATTTGTTTAAAAGGCTGTCTTTTCTCCACCGTATGATTTTTTGCACCTTTGTCAAGGATCAGATGACTGTAGATGTATGGATTTTTCTCTGTGTCTTCTACTCTGTACCATTGGTCTAGGTATCTGTTTATATATCACTACTATGCAGTTTTTATTACTATAGCTTTAGAGTATAATTTAAAAGTCAGGTATTGTGACCTTTAACATTGCCTTTTTTTTTTTTCTTAGAATTGCTTTGGCTATTCTGGGTCTTCTCTTTTTTTCCAAATGAACTTTTGGACCGTTTTCCTAATTCTGTGAAGAATGTCATTGGTATTTTGATGGGGGATTGCCTTGAATCTGTATATTGTTTGTGATAATTTGGCCATTTTAACAATATTCTATCTACCTACCCATGAACATGGGAGGTCTTTCTTCAATTTCTTGTGTCTTCTTCAATTTCTTTTCCAGTGTTCTATAGTTTTTATTGTAGAGGTCTTTTACCTCTTTGGTTAGATTTAGTCCTATGTATTTAATTTAATTTTTTGAGGCTATTGTGAATGGCATTGTTTTCCTGATTTCTTTCTCAGCATATTCATTATTGGTATAGATTTTGTATGTTGATTTTGTAACCTGCCACTTAGTTCTAGCAGTCCTCTGGTGGAACTTTTTGTATTTTCTAGGTATAGAATCATATCCCTGCAAACAGTGATAATTTGACTTCTTCCTTTTCCATTTTTATCCATTTTATTTCCTTCTCATGCCTAATTGCTCTGGCTAGAATAGAAATGGTGAGAGTAGATATGCTTGACTTGTTTCAGATTCTAAAGAAAATGTTTTCAGTTTCTCCTCATTAGTTACAATGTTGGCTTTGGGAGATATATATATAACAGTAGTTGTATATAGTCAATCCCTAGTTTATCTATCCCTAGCTTCTTCCGTGTTTTTTTTTTTTTTGTAATGAATAGGTGCTGAATTTTGTCAAAGGCTTTCTATGCATCTATTGAGATGACTGGTTTTTGTCCCTAATTCTATTTATGTGATGAATTACACTTATTGATCTGCATGTGAAACCATTCTTGCATCCCTGAGATAAAACCAACTTGGTTGTGAAGAACAATCTTCTTGCTAATATTAAAGATTTTTACATGTAAATTCATCAAGGATATTAGTCTGTAGTTTTCTTTCCTTGACGTGTTCCTACCTGATTTGGTATAAATGTGACACTGATTAAATAGAATGAACTTGGAAGCATTCCATTTCCCCTGGAATATTCTGAGGAATATTAGTACTTGTTTTTTAAAGGTCTGGTAGAATTCAGCTAACAATTCATCTGATCCTGGACTTTTCTTCTTCTTCTTTTTTAAATATTTATTTTTTAGTTGTAGTTGGACACAATATCTTTATTTTATTTTTATGTGGTGCTGAGGATCGAACCCAGGGCCTCACATGTGCTAGGCGAGCACTCTACCGCTGAGCCACAATCCCAACCCTGGACTTTTCTTTGTTGGAAGAATATCTGTAATCAACCATTGTTTGTTTGTTTGTAAGGGATTGAACACAGGGGTGCTTTAGCCACGCGCAACATCTCCAGCCCCCAAATCATTGTTTGAGGCTTGTATCTTATAATACAAAATTCTCTCCTATAAGACAATTGTTCAGTCAACAAAAATTGTTGCACTTAACATGAACATCATACATTCGGAAATCAAAGAGGGAAATAATGTTTTCTAGCGTAGATGATGAAATACTTATCTGTTGAATCAGGGACTTTGGACTGAAAAGAACAGTTATCTGGGCTGAAAACAGCACTATGAAATTGAAATGAGGTTAAGTGTATAATGTGGTATGCTGAAGTTCAGAGTGACCAGTTGCATATGCATGAAATAGGGAAACAACTTACCAGAAGTTGTAAAGTTGTGTCAAAGCCTAGCCTGAGCCCTAATTATGACAATGACGAATTCTTAGACTGTGTTACTAGTAATAACAGCAGTAGTAACCGCTAACATCCACTCACTGGTTACTCTGAGCCATGTGCTGTTCTAAGCATTTTAAGGCTATTGGCTCATTTAATTCTCACAAATAGCCTGTCAGGTAAGTCTAATATTATTTCCATTTCAAATGAGGAAACTGAGGCCCAGAGCAGATAAATAATAACCCAAGGTCAAGTAGTCAGTAGGTGGTGGAGCTTGGTTTTGAAACTTATGCTAATCCTGCTCTCCTCTGGACTGGTCAGTCCATTTCTGGAGTCTTCATGTGTGAGGACATCACAGACCAAAGGGCTCCTGAGACCAGGTTGTGGCTGGGGTGGAAACCCACTCTGATGGTTGGACAAACTGGGGTCTTTTAGAAGAGTTTAAGAAAGAAATATGCTTTACAAATGTTTAAAGACTATTACGTGAAAGAGAAATGAGAATTATATTTTGTAGCCACAAGGAAATTACCAGTTTAGGCTGACAAACATTTACCAAATGCCTATATCTGCAAGAACCCTGGGAATTCAGAAATAAGAAGAAACAAAACAAAAACAAAAACCACTTCTTGGAGAAGTTTCCAGTCTAGAAGTGGTGAGAGGCAAAGTTGACTCTCCAAAAGACCTTTCTGAAGACCCTAGCAGCTGGATGCCAACTCTTAAATATATATAAAATTAAATTTCATAATTGAAATTTGGAGACATTTTCTGTTGATTAATATGTTGCATTACATAGATATCAAGAAAATTTTTACTTGTCTTTTGCATTACACTTGATGTTATGGTTTGGATCTAAAGATTCATATGTTGACAGCTTGGTCCCTAATGCAGCAATGTTCAGAGGTGAGGTCTTGGGAAGTGATTGGATCATGAAGACTGTGACCTCTCAATGGATTAATCCATTGATATATTCATAGCTGATGACATTATTGGGAGGTGGTAATAATATCGGAGGTGGGACCTTGTTGGAAGAAGTAGGTCACTGGGGGCACACTTGGAAGGACGTATCTTATCTTTGGTCCTTTCCTTGTTCTCTCTCCTCTGTTTTTGGGCTACCATGAAGTAAACAGTTCTGTTCTGCCACATGCTCCCTCAAATGACCTTCTGCCTTACCATGGGCTCATAACAATGGGGCCAAGCAACCATGGATGGAAACTTCTGGAACAGTGAGCCAAAATAAACCTTTCCTCCTTTATTTTCTCAGGTATTTTGTCACAGAGTGGAAAACTAACTAGCAGACTTAACCAAGTCAGCAAGATAAATTTTATTACTTTCAAAATATTAACAGAAAATAGACAAATCATCCATTCTGAAAGCAAGGGAAGAGAATATCTTTGTTTAAATGAGTATTTTAAAAATATATAAGCATTATATGCAGTACATAATATTTTTATATATTATGTATCAATAATATATAAATCTTACTGGAAATTCTGATTATTTCGATAAGATAAATGGACACAAAAGGATTATCCGGTTGCTTTTTTTAAAATTGTGAAATAATACATTTTTTGTAGAATATAGTTTAACTCTGACAATAACATTTGAACTCCAGAATCACACAAACTGGATCAAGATTTAGAAACAAATGATTATTTTAGTGAAGAGAGTGGAATGTTTGACCAATGCCCTGAAATTTAAAAGTATCATTGAAAGATTCCTTTGAAGTCATCTACTTATAAGCAAAGAAAATAGTGCTTTTCCAAGGTTCATTGGAGAATTACAGGGATGCACTGGATTAAATTATTTTGATGTTTTGTGGTTACATGTGGATCTTCCTATTTGTGTCATTCTCCTCTGTTAAGAATATTTTCACTGTTGTCTAGACAAACTACAAATGTGTGAGACAGACTTGTTGATTTCAGATGTTAAATTTGTCTCTTATAGTTCCATACAAGAAAAAAAGCAGATTAATGTTACATTGTAAATTCCATTAATTGAATTCAAAACAAAGCTAGTTCCCAAGTACAATAGGATTTCCAACTATTATGAGGCAAAAGAGTACCCATATAGCCATCCTGTTTTTCATGTTCAGAACAGTATTCAATAAACCATATGAGATATTCAACATTTTATATAAAATAGGCTTTGTGTTAGATGGTTTTGCCTAACTGTAGGCTAATCTAAGTGTTCTAAGCAGTTAGGCTAGGCTAAGCTATGATGTTTGGTAGGTTAGGTGTACAAAGTGCATTTTGACTGATGATATTTTTGACTTAATGATGGGTTTATCAGTATATAATTCCATTGTAAAGTTGAGTAGCATCTCTAATAGGATATTTTCCATTTTATTCACTCTAGAATATCAGACCATATCATCATAGGAAAATCTGTTAATAAAGTTGGTTAGGTATACAACTGTTACTATGTAGTCTCATATTTTATTTTCTACTTCATGCAAGTTTATCCACAATGTTGTCCTGCTATTCTTTGCCAAGTTTTTTTCCCATTATGAAGATTCTGCTTTCATAAGCTTATGACTGGGTTGGTTATGAGTGTTGGTGAAACATGAGCAGCAGATATTCCCCTCAAGTTACTTTCCTTCTGCAATGACTAGAGGTATGAATCTGGATGACCTTCCAGTTTTCTTCTTCTTGATTTTCCTTCACACAAGATAAATCACTATGATAAACTGCTTCAATGAATAACTTGTCTACTTAGGGAAAGCAGAAAGTCCAAGCAATAAATCCAATTTGATTGAGAACTATGAAGATGTCAACAGTAAATAATAATGCACTCTTTCCCAGTACACAAAGACTGTTTTTTTTTTGTTTGTTTGTTGTTGTTGTTTTCTTGAATGGTATTGGGGATTGAACCCTGGGCCTCCCATGTGCTAGGCATGTCCTGTATCACCCCACCTCCAGCCCCTAGCCAAGATTTATTTTTAACAATGGCTTGCTGCAAAATCATTTTCTGGGATGCAGGATATAACTGGCCCTAATTCTGGATTGTTTTCAATAGCAGATATAATGAAGAATCATCAATTGCTAGATGTCAGAGCCAAAAATTAAACTGCATTCAAAAACCTAGAATAGGGGCTGAGGTGTAGATCAGTGGTACAGCATTTGCCTAGAATGCATGAGGCCCTTTGTTGTTTGATCCCCAGCAATGGGGTGGGAGGTAGGGGGAGAAAGGCTACAATATTTGCTCTGCATTCTAATTTATAGAAATAGAACTTTATTGACTAAAAAACAGGATATGTAAAATAAAGAGGAAACTCAGTCAAGCCATCCATTCCATATAGTTAATGTTTGGAATGAAAAACTTCCACATATTTTTGGCTTTTCAAATACAATATTTTATACCAAGTATTAACTTATGATGAGGTGTCCCTTTTTACTTCCATGCTACAGGCTTTAAGATATCTTAAGTGAAACACAAATGTGTATGCACACATACACATACACACAACATAAATGTCAATACATATCTAAAGCATTTTCCCGAGCAGGTGCAAAGATCCAATTGAAGTTTTTTTTTAATAAGGCTTAGCCAACTTGATGTAAAACAAAAGGTTCCCAAATAGAGAATTTTTTTTTTTCATGCAACGAACATGGTTGGAGAATAGAAATCTGACTCTTGGAGTTAAATTGACTCTGAACTCCCTAAAATTCTAAGAGTTTATCATTCTGTGAGTTAATTCCTCAAGTTATTCTCCCCATAAATGAGCTGCTTGGAAGAAGGAGAATGGTTTGGGAAAATGGGTTTATTCTTTCAGGCCACTAGTAGTCTACAAAAGTATCCTATTAAAGAGTGATCACAAATGCGTACCTATTAGCTTAGCAGGTAACTGAAAGATGATAGGTGTTTTTAAAAACCTCATGCACTGATGAGCCTCACAGTTATGTCCATCACTGAAAGGACAGTTGTTTCATATTTTGACCATTTTGAATGAAATCTTGGCTCCTATGTCTTGAGAAGCACTTCTTATTCATCTATTTATTATTTATTTATTGGTATCAGAGATTGAACTCAGGAGCACTAAAACACTGAGCCACATCTCCAGCCTATCCCCATATTTTATTTGGAGACAGCATCTCACTGAGTTGCTTAGGCCCTTGCTAAGTTGCTAAGGCTGGCTTTGAACTCTCAATCCTCCTGCCTCAGCCTCTCGAGCTACTGGGATTACAGGCATGCGCCACCATGCCTAGCAATGGGAAACACTTCTAGTGCTTATAAAAGACACAGTCTTTCTCAGCCTGTACTTCTATCTATCTCCAAATACCTGAATTTTCTTTGGGTCATGACTCCCCAGCTTCCTCCTCATTCATTCCTGTCTTCTACTAGAAAACTTAAAACATTGAAGAAAAGCAGAGTGAAAGAAAAGATGGAGGCTAATCAGAGAAGACTCAATTCCTTTACTCAGCTGTAAGCCAGGCAGGGTGCAATATCATCTGCTGCTGTTATTGTATGTTTGTTTGATATGTGAGGGCTCTCAACATGTTCTTAGCAGAAAAATATGTCATGCTCAATTCAGGGGAGAGCCTTCCACAGAAAGCATTTCAAAAGAGCAAGAGAATCAAAAGAAGTATATCATTTTAAAGTACTCTTGAAATTTTAAATGTGTATAAATTCAGAGGTTTAGAAAACTCAAAAGCCATAGACAGTTTAGGAAGCCGAAGGCTGTGAATCTCCCTTTTCACTTAATCCATGCCTTATTTTGCATTCCTCGCAGGTAAGCAGGCAATGCCTAGAAGAGAAGCAAAAACAGGTAGTGGTTTGTACTTTGACAATAGAAACTCTAGTCTTAACACAATGTTGTTTAGAGAAGTCTTCTGTTCTAAAGTTCACTAGCCCAATTTCTTCAGGAACAATATTTGTTCTTAGTTTAAGATTCCCCAAATTTCATCCAAATAAAACCAAGAACAAACTTTATGTTGAAACAGATGGTTGTTTTTGTGGTTAGAGTCACACAAAGGTTGAACATGAGTAATCTTTGAACTTGAGTAATTTCTAACAATAACATTAAAAAATCATAAATAAGCCAGGCACAGTGGCGCATATCTATCGCTCCAGCACTGAGGATGCTCAGGTGGGAGAAACACTTGAGCCCAGGAGTTTGAGGCCAGCCTGGGCAATGCAGTGAGACCTCATCTAAAAGAAAAAAAAATCATAAAATACATAGTGCATTTATGTAGTATTTAATATAATATAAGCCTATAGTGTTTAATATAATATAAACTTATGGAATTAGGTTTGGACACACATGAGCACACATAATTTTTTTAAATTAAAAAATTGCGAAGACATTTCCAGAAATAATTTTCCTGATTTGCAACAGTTTCCTTAGAATCTAACACAATACCAAGGAAAACGCACAGCTTTGTATTAGAAAAAGACCCACACTTGAGGAATTGATGTCCTTGAGGCCCTTCCCAGTGTTAGTTTTGAAATCTTACAAATTCAATTCCATAAACATTTACTGAACACCTACTACCATGAGGAATTTGCAACAGAAAGACCTTTTAAGCAGAACAGGATGAGGTGAATTCTATATAATAGAAATATCAACCTTGCTTGAGTGGGAAGGGTCATTCAGAAGGCAGCAACACTATAAGCTGCTATTGCACATCCCCAGAGAGATGGATGATGATCTCCTCCCCCTCCCTTTATCACTTATTTTACCCCATTGCTTTGAGAATTAGGTAGAAATCCTTAGTGTGGCATAAAATCCTTCAGGGAGTGACCCTTACTTGCTTTGCCCTCCAGATGTCTTCTACCATTTCCCAATAGCTCTCTATGCTTCAGCCATAGGGTGTATCCATGGGTTTATTAAAGAATTAATCAATCAGGTTTCCTTCTCTGAGCAGGCCATTCCTGGCCTAGGATTTCCTTTTTCAAACTTGCTATAACTCCCACTGGTCTTTGAAGATTCAAGTCAAGCATGATCACCTCCTTTAAGAAGGCCCTTTCTTTAAGCTTCTAGACCTCAACTTAGCTAGGGGCTCTTCCCTCCTTCCCCCTCACTGGAAATCAAGTAGCTTTGTGAATCGTTGCTTCTAGATGTACTGGTAATGGCCCTTCACAAGGGCTTAGCAATGGTTACCAGCCACTAATGTGAGCCCAGAGTGCAGCTGCTGTGGCTACAAGAGGGCAGGCAAAACAGAGCTATAGAACAAAGAGCTCAAAGCAACCCTGGAGACCATTTACTTCAACCGCCTTCTTCTAAAATGCAGAACAATGGAGACTGTCTGGAAAACACAGATTTCAATCTTGGTTTATAATTATTATGGAACCTGAAGTTGGATAATAGCAAAAGAACTTCCTGAAATTAAAGAGAAAGAAGGAACAGTTAAGAAAACTTTCTCCTTTGCATGTATTGATTTTATAAAACTTTCCCTAAAGAGACCAGAGTCTTGTGGTCAATTGCTCTTCAGAAAGCTGACCCTAAAACTCAGCTTTGTAAAGATGGACTGATGTTGGAGTTGTCTGTAAACATAGAATTAATGACTCTCAGGCAACATTGCTGCTAAAATGGAATATGTAAGGGTTTGAAAACAAATGGGCTGAGCCTTACCTATGGCTAATTGAAAAACAGGATATGGCTAACTAGGTCACCTCAGAAAGTCTCTGCATCTCCTTGCTGTATGTCTGTGCACCTCTCTGGGTTGCATGCGGCTCAACAGGAAGTGACAGTGTTTAAGGTACCAGTATAGGACTAGGGAAGGTGGCTCTCCAAAGTTTTGCAAATGGAAAAAGAACTTGGGTGCCCTGATTTCTAGTCCAATGTTGTTTTCACTATATCATGCAGCCTCTCAAATAGAATCTACTGAGATGGGTGAGGGGTCTTCAGAGAAATGTGTCTTTAACACTAGTCTCATAACACTATAAAAGAAATAGCACTTATGAGTCATGAATAACCATTTCTATTCCTTGCAATATCCCATGGAAACAATTCTGATTATCATTTTATACAGATGAGGAAACTGAAGATTAGAGAGTTTAAGAAATGTATTCAAGGTCATATGGCTTAGGAAGTGGATGGAGTGGTTTTCAACCCAAAATCTCCAACAGCAGAGGTAGTCCTGTGAACTCCACTGTCCTGCTGCTTATATCCCCCAGAGAAAACTACAATATATATTACATGCTATTAACATGTTAAAGGCTCTCAGAAGCCTTCCGTAAGGAAGACCGTTTAAATTTTACGTAACCTTGTGATGGTAGAAGTCATTTGTGCTCATCAAGATAGTCTTCAGAGACTTGCACAATGCCTTGGACATAATAGGTACTCATTAGATATTGTTATAAAATGAAATAGGTAACTAATTTAATAATTTTCGAAGTTGAGTTGTAACAACTCAAAACTTGAAGGTTAAAGAGGTTTTTTAAATGAAGGAATTTAAAAAATGTTTAATGTTATAAACAGTCAGTGACCCTTCATTTAATTACTTATAATTATCTTCATTATAATCTCTTAGTCAAGCAGGTTACAAACCTGTTATGCTCTGGACCAAAACCAGCTCCACGCAGCTGATCTTCAAAGGAATGGAATTTACTCTGGCATACTCCTATGTATGAAGCCTTTCCAAGGCCAAATCCTAAGATGCCAGCAACTGTAAAAGCAAGAAACATAGGTAACTGAAAGATTCAGAATCTCTTTCGTTAATTATCATCTTGAATTTTTTTTATTAAACCTAGTCTTTTTTTTTTTTAAGTGCTGATGTTGAACCCAGGGGTGCTTTACCACTGAGCTACATCCCAACCATTTTAATTTTTTATTTTGAGACAGGGTCTCAACAAGTTGCTTAGGGCTTCACTAAGATCCTCCTGTTTCAGTCTCCAAAATCACTGGGATAGGTATGTGCTACCACACCAAACATCAAGACTAGTCATTTTTATCTAAAAGTACTAGGGTAAATCAATGACCAAAAACTCTGAGCCCCTATCAAAGAAAAGGACTGTGAACCAGATCTCTTCTTTGAACTGAAAGCAGAATGATCAGGATAGAGCAAGTGAAGGTGCTGTCTCAAAGATGGGCAATGAGAGGGTGGCAGCTGTTAAACAGATGGCTTAGGCCACCAAGGAGAGAAGGTGGGGATCTGCACTGTGACTATTGGAAGCCTTTAAATCACAGGTAGGAAAGCTCCTTTACTTTCTTTAAGGTCTTGGAAGAGTTGGGAGCAACCTCTAGAAGTGATGTCATGAGCGAGGGAAACCTCCTATGAAGGAAGTTGTTGGGAGCAGTGATTTGAATCGTTGTCTCTGACCTACAGCAGGAGCTGCGCCTGCACTGGAAATTTCCCGTGAAAAGGTGCAGGTCAAGACTGCCCAGTTGCTATGGTGACACCCTGCTTAAAGGAGATTCTGTGCTAGGCACAAGACTATCAGTCTTGACCCTAAGTGCAGACATCAGCTGCCAGGTACAGAGAATTATGAAAGTAAATTGATAATTATATTTGTCATATAGTACTTTGACTTTCAATCCTGCATGCTTTCTTACAGAAAATCCGTTTGATGAGAAAACCCATATGATAGAGTTGCTGAGCTAGCTCTGGGTCATTCATCCTCCATCAGAGGGTGATGTCCCACCTAGCCCCAGCCTTTTCTCTATGTCTTTGTCTTTTCTCAATCCCCCATTGCCCCTTGGTGATTTCTGAATTAATGGCTGTGCTGGTTGCAGCAAAAAATCTTGAACCCTCTGGCTGGGAATGAGATTCGAGATTGTACCTTCTTTGTACATAGAAGGTCTATGTGTATCAAGAAGAGGAAAAAGAAACCCCAAGTGTGTGGCAAATTTATTATTGGAAAATCCCCAGCTCATTACTCATTTTTAATGTCCATGACAGATAATCTTTTGAAAAGATTGGCCAGCCCAAAAGAAGAAAATAAAAACCCTAAGGTCTTATCATTCAGATGCTCTACTGTTGATAATTTTGTTAAAGCTGGCCCTCCATATCCATGGGTCACATATCCTCAGTCAACCAACTACAGACAAAATATTTGAAAGTTTGGGTCAGTACTGAACAAGTACAAACTTCTTTCTTTCAGTATTCCCTAAGTCATATAGTATAACAACTATTTGTACAGTATTTACATTATTTTAGGTGTTGTAAGTCATCTAGAGATGATTTAAAGAATACAGGAGAACACGCAGAGGTGGTATGAAAATATTATGCCATTTAAATAAGGGAATTGAGCATTCATGGATTTTGGTATCCTGGAGGGGTCTTAGAACCCATCCCCATCAAATCTGGAGGAACAACTGTATATATCTTGTCAGTCCCTCTTAGTTCATGCTTTAAAGAGGATTATCTGGGGAGAAGTCCCTACTCACTTTAAAGAGGATTATCTGGGGAGAAGTCCCTATACACTTCCTGTATATCAAGAAGTGTTGAATAAAGTAAGAATGTAAAGCCATAGAAAATAGTGACTAATTTTTCAGAGTCAATGCAGGCAAGTTGGTTAAAATGGACATTCCTTTCCCTAGCGGTTAAAAATATCACCGTTTCTTCCAAAATGAATCTGCTTTTTTTACTTTAATGACTTACGTGCAAGTTTAGGCAATGATCCAAGTCTTGGGTTAGCGGCTAAGTAACCTAAGGAGTAAAATATAGATAATTAATATTTTATTTTGCAACCTACTTAAAATTTAAGATGCAAAATTTCTTAAATGTATACATAGTCTTAATCTAAAGAAACAATTTTAAAATAATTATGAATCACTTCTTGACTGAGTTTAACTCTTGTATAGCCATTTTAGGCAAAGAGCATATATTAGCTTTAACATATAGAAAAGGAATATGAAACAAAGACTGATTTAAGTTCAAAAAATGACTCACTATCCTGTTCTCTCTTAAAGTAATTCAGTATAGGAAGTTTCAGTTTAGAGATTCAATCTGTATGTGTGTGTGTATGTGTGTGTGTGTCTGTGAGCACACGCGTGCATGTGTTTATTTAAAGCTTTTTTTTCTTGCTTTGACTAGGGGCATTCTACCACTGAATTGCATCCCCAGTCCTTTTTTTTTAAAGAGGGTCTTGCTAATTTGCTCAGGCTGGGATTGAATTTGCAATTCTCCTGCCTCAGCTGCCCAAATGCTGGGATTATAGGCATGTGCTACTGTCACAATTTTTAAATGAAAATAGTAGGGGCTGGGTTTGTGGCTCAGTGGTAGAGCTCTCGCCTAGCACATGTGAGGCCCTGTGTTCGATCCTCAGCACCACATATAAATATAAAATAAAGGTATGGTGTTCAATTACAACTAAAAAAAATAATAAATAAGAAAATATTAAAACTTGTGGCTGGGTACAGTGACACACACCTGTAATCCCAGTGGTGTGGGAGGCTGAGACAGGAGGATCACAAGTTCAAAGCCAGCCTCAACAATGGCAAGGTGCTAATCAACTCAGTAAGACCTGCCTCTAAATAAAATATAAAAAAAGGAAAAGGCTGGGGATGTGGCTCAGTGGTTGAGTGCCCCTGAGTTCAATCCCTGGTACCAAAAAAAAAAAAAAAAAGAAAGAAAGAAAGAAAGAAAGAAAGTAAGAAAGAAAGAAAGAAAGAAAGAAAAGAAATATTATAACTTGAGGTGGGCAGGATAGTAGCCCCTAACAATGTCCACTCCATAATCTTAAGAAACTATAAATATGTTATAATACATAAAAACTTGGGTAGAAAGTAGAATTTAGGTTGCTATCAGATAACTTTAAAATAGGGAGATGGTTCTGGATGATCCAGGTAACTTCGACATAATCACAGCAATCCCTGAATGTGGAAGAGGGCATTGGAGAGGACCAGATATGACAATGTGAGAAAATGTTGGCTCAGCATTGCTGGCTTTAAAGACATAAGAGGGGGCGGCCAGCAAATAAATGCAGGAAAAGGAAAGGAAGATTAGAAACTTCCAGAAGAAATACAACTGGAACAATGTCTTGATTTTAAACCAGTGAGACCCATTTTGGATTTCTGGCCTCTGGAACTGTAAGTTAATAAATCTATTGTTTTTAAGCCATGGTGTCTGTGATAATCTGTTACAATAACTATGGAAAACTAATATATAATTCTGAAAAAATATATATGCACAGATGCAGAGATGATAGCTCTTGAGTAGTTTAATATTTATAAGACATAATTCTATGGATGTCCTGGCTGCATTTTTTTTTTGCTGTGTCAGAAATAGCCTGATGAAGGCTAGTTCTGATTGATGAATATATTCCTATTAAAAGACTATCTTCAAGTGATAAAAATGAAATCATATTTAATACATGACCTTTACAGCCAGAATAATATTGATTAAATTGGAATTCTCCTGGTTACATAACACAGGTAATCTTTGAGATCCAAAAAAAAAACTAGGACATCTTCCTTCATATTTACCAGGAAGAAATATTCCTTTTAAAATCTTGGTAATCCAGAAACATCCAATAAATTGAACTTAAACAGGGTCAGAGGCCTTGTTGTTACCTGGGGACTACACAATGTGTAAGAATTCTCTGTCTAGGTGGAGACAAAGAAGAAAATGAGGAAAGAGGAATGGAGAGGAAAACTCAGAGGTAAGCAGAGGTCACTGTAGGGAGAGACATGTGGCTGCTAGTCCTCATGGTCTCTTTTATGCATCAGACAGGGTACCCTCCTTAGTTGGTTTAGCTTCTTGCTGGGACAAATGGCTTGGTGGGCAGAGCTTGGGTGGACTTCCACTCCACTCACCTCCTACCTGGAGCACCCTTCTATAGTGAACCATCGGCCCAGTCACAGCCAGAGGCCGGAAGGCACAGGGATTCTGGTATAATGGAAGGCACTGTTTTAGTTTCCTATGATTGCTATAACAAATTACCACCAATGTAGTAGCTTAAAGCAAGTTTATTATAGTTCTTGAGGTGAGAAGTCTCATATTGGTCTCACTAGTTTAAAAATAAAGTTGGAACTGCATTCTTTAAGTGGGCTGCTTTCTTTGCTAGGGTGTCTGGAATTTCCAGATCCTAGAGGCCTCCCACATGCCTTAGCTCATGGCCCCTTCCTCCATCATCAAAGTCTTGCAATATTGATTCCTTATGCTGTCCTCTCTCTGGATCTGTCTTTTCTTCCCCTTCATTATTTTAAAAGAACTTTAAAATTTTTAGGTTTTTTTTTTTTTTTCTTTTCATCCTTGGGATCAAACTCAGGATTTCACACATGCTAGGCAAACACATCACCACTGAGCTATGCGCAGCCCTTTGCATTTTCAGATAGGATTTTTTGGGGGGTTACTGAGGATTCAACTCAGGAGCACTCAACCATTGAGCCACATCCCTAGCCCTATTTTATATTTTGTTTAGAGACAGGATTCACTGAGTTGTGTTGTGCCTCACAATTGCTGAGGCTGGCTTTGAACTCGTGATCCTCCTGTCACAGGCTCCCCAGCTGTTGGGATTACAGGAGACATAGGATTTTGCTAAGTTGTCATGTAGTGGCACCCCCTTTCTCCACAGAAGAGTCTTAACTGGGTTTCTCCAAAATCTTCACCATGGTTGATTTTAGGACTGTCAGCAAAAGAGTCTCTACCAAAGAGTTCAAAGTAGATAAACTTCCAATTTTCGTGTTGCCCTGTTTTACTTGGCCACTGGTTAGGAAGAAATCAGCACTTCAGGTTCTGGACACCCTCTTACTAGTTTTCCACAAATGTGTATCCAGCATAGTAGTTTGTAGAAATGTGTAAACAAGGCCTCTGGCCTTGAGCTGGGGCTTCACAGAGATGTCTGCATTTTTAAGATAATAGAAGTTACCAATTGGGCTCTGTGGTAACAGCTGGCAGGGAGAGGAAAGAAAGGGGAGAAGTAGCTCTCCCCTTCTCAGGTGCTATTTTTAAAGGATTAACTTGCCCAGAACAATGAAAGAAAAAAACTGCTTTTATGTGAACTTTTGCAGACTGTGAACTTCTGAGCCCCTCCCCTTATATGTTGGGTATGAAATTCTGAAACTATCTGAACTCTGGGTTTAGAGGATTGATTGATTACAGCAAAAGCTGTGCCCTCTGAACCTGGCTGCAGCCAAATAAAACTGTTCCAGCTATCTTCAGTGCCTTGCCTCATCTGTCCCTACAACAGGTAGGCTGGCTTTGAACTTGTGATCCTTCTGTGTCAGCCTTTTGAGTAGCTGGGATTATAGTTGTGTGTCACCATGTCTGGTAAAGACTCTTTTGGTCAAATTGGGCTCCCTGGGTTACCTAGGATAATCTTCCTATTGTAAGGTCAGCTGTTTAACAACCTTAATTATATCTGCCATTTAATTTCCCTTTGCCAGGTAATCTAATATATTCACTCATTCCAGAGTCTGAGATCTCTTCTGTGGGGACAGGGACCTATGCTAAAAAGAGGCAGAAGCATGCATTAAAAAAATCCTTCACCAAAAAAATACATGCCCAGTGCCGAGGAGCTGCCAGAAGGGGCACAGAAAACTGGACTCTCTGAAGTTAAGCAATTTAACAAATATTGAATCTTACCTTGGTGGACTAGTCCCTGGGTGACAAGCATGCTTACAAGAGAGAAAGGCAGAGCTGTAAAACAAAAATGTCCTTCAATATTGGTATCTTAATATCATCTCATTCCAGTCAGAATGGCAGCTATTATGAAGACAAACAACAATAAGTGTTGGGGGGTATGTGGGGAAAAAGGCACACTCATACATTGCTGGTGGGACTGCAAATTGGTGCAGCCAATATGGAAAGCAGTATGGAGATTCCTTGGAAAGCCGGGAATGGAATCACCATTTGATCCAGCTATCCCTCTCCTCGGTCTATCCCTCTCCTCGGTCTAAAGGACTTAAAAAAGCACATTATAGGGACACAGCCACATCAATGTTGATAAAAGTACAATTTACAACCCAGATGCCCTTCAGTAGATGAATGGATTTTTAAAATGTGGCATATATACACAATGGAATATTACTCAGCAATAAAAGAGAATAAAATCATGGCATTTGCAGGAAAATGGATGGAGTTGGAGAAGATAATGTTAAATAAAATTAGCCAATCCCAAAAAACAAATGCCAAATGTTTTCTCTTATATAAGGTGACTGACTCATAGTTGGGTAGGGAGGGGGAGCATGGGAGGAATAGCCAAACTCTAGATTTGACAGAGGGGTGGGAGGGGAAGAGAGGGGGCAGGGGGTTAGCATGATGGTGGAATGTGACAGACATCATTATCCAAAGTACATGTATGAAGACATGAATTGGTGAGAATATACTTTACAAACAGAGATATGAAAAATTGTGCTCTGGGCTGGGGCTGTGTCTCAGTGGTGGAGCGCTCACCTAGCATGTGTTAGGCACTGAGTTCCATCCTCAGCACCACATAAAAATAAAACAAAGATATTGTGTTCACCTAAAACTAAAAAATAAATATTAAAAAAAGAAAAATTGTGCTCTAAATGTGTAATAAGAATTGTAATGCATTCCGCTATCATGTATTTAAAAATAAAATAAATTTTAAAAATATTGGTAACTTAAAACATGGTGCCTCACCTAGAGGTCAAGGGGAGAATTGCTCAGAGATTTTTGTTTCACTTCCTTAAATGTAAGTTTTATTCATTTGTTATTTTACTTATTCAAAAAGTATTTATTACGCACTATAGGGACAATTCTCTTAGGGTCTTCCCTGGTAACTCAGCCTGTTTCATACCATTAGTTTGACCAAATATAAAACCCATTTTACTCCATCTCTGATGTTATAGTGTGAATCTGAAGTGTCCACCAAAGGATCCTTAGCTGGTGGGCATGTTGGGAGTTGGTTGGAAACTTTAGGAGGTAGGGCTTACTTGGAGGAAGCATCATTGGGAATGTTTCCTTGCAGTATGTATCTTGTCCTTGATCCCTTTCCTTCTCTATCTTTTCCTCTCAGCTGCTGTGAATTAAGCAACCACATTCTGCCATGTCCTCTTACCATGATGCTCTGCCTCATTGCAGGCCCAGAAACATGGAACCAAGTGGCTAGAGACTGACACCATGAGCCAAAATAAATATTGCCCCCCTTAAGTTGATTTATCTCAGGTATTTTGTCACAGTGATGAAAAACCAACTAATACATCAGACATCCAAATTTACTGAATGGTTGACTTGTATAAGATTTTGAACACTACATTTGACATGAGCATCTTAGTTCTTGAATTGGGGAACTGCCTGTATCTATATGCATACATATATGTATACATCAATTTTCAATCCTACATAATTGTTAGGAAGCACTATATAATAAACTGCATAGTCTTCATCTATATTTGTTAGTTTTTTAACCAAATTTGCTTTATCTCTATTTTTAATTTTTTTTCTGAAATATTTGAAATTTGTAAACATCATGACTCTTCATCACTGAATATTTCAGAAGATATCTTCTAAGAACAAGAATATTTCCCTACAGAGTCACAAGACCATTAAGGGTACTCCAGGATAATTAACTATTGTACAATCTATATTCAAATATCTCCAAATGGTCTAATAGTGTCTTTCATAGCTGCTGGCTTTTTCCAATACAGAAAATCAAGGATCCTATTTACTTTCTAATCTGCTTTCATCCTTCACTGCGGAGAGTTCCCTGTTTTTTTTTTTTTTTTAATCTATAAGACATTTTTGTCCACCAATTTGGAGGTCTGCCTGAAGATCCAGATGGAAGATTACAACATGACTTCATTCATGTTAAATATGTACAATGTTTAGCTATGCCTTTTTTTTTGAGAATTTTTAATATTTATTTTTTAGTTCTCGGCAGACACAACATCTTTGTTGGTATGTGGTGCTGAGGATCGAACCCGGGTCGCACGCATGCCAGGCGAGCGCGCTACCGCTTGAGCCACATCCCCAGCCCCAAGCTATGCCTTTTTGAACAGACAATTAGTTTGGCAAAGGCAGTTTCTAATTCTGTCAAAATGTACCAAATGACTTCTCTCAAATGCAGAGAGCAGTGGTAAACATTCAGCTCTTCCTGGAAACCAAGGAAATTCAAACAGTAACCAATTTTTCCATCTATAACTAGTTGCCTGGTGGCAGGCAAATGGGTCATAATGAAGTGTTAATCTACTAGTGCGCAATTAAATTATTTACTCACAGGTTGTCAGAAAAGACATGCATTTCTAGAAGCACAATCAGTAATCATGGTAATGCATAATGAATATCAACTCCTACAGAGTCTTAGTTCCAAAACTGGTGATGCTGAATTTGAATGATTTATGAAATCAAAATGAGTATTGTAAAGCAAAAATTATCCCTGTGTCAGCAATGTTGCACAATACTGATGCTCTGTCTATAAGCTCTATTATGCCATTCTCAAACAACAAATCATGAATTTTCTAAATTGGAAGAAGCTTTAATGCACAGCCTGAATTCACACCCTTATCTTATGTAAGGCAGGCTCAGAAAGAGGAAGCAACTCAGCAGAAAAGGCTATTCAGAGACAATATAAGAGAAGCATTAATGGAACACTGCCATTTTTCTTTCACTCAACAATATTTAGGAGAAATTCTCTATGTGTGAAGCAGTGTGCTAGGCTCTGGGATGAACTTGACATTATCTCTGACTCTTTGAAGCTTAGACTCTAGTGGAGGTTAGAAAGATCTAGTCTTTGGTAATAAAGACATTCTAGACAATAATCTTGGCACATGTTCTTGCTCATGTGAAGGAAAGAGTTAAATGAGCAGCAGTTTTTGCTAAGTAAGGCAAAGTGCTCCATAATCAGATATTATCTCTGCCCTAAAAAATTTTTTCCAGATGGATTTAACCCAAAACATCCCTGAATATCCAAGTTCTTTAGGGATTTATGCAAACACTGCTCAAAAATAAATCATTCCTGTAGTTCTAATAGGATATGGAGGCAGTTTATTGCATCAAATGCAATGCTAGTAAAGATTGAGCAGGATGCAATTACCTCTCTTCCAGAAACTTTCTTCTTGACATTCTCGAATAATCTTGGCTATCTCTCCTCTGTGGATGTGCAGTTTTGATTTTGGACAAAACAACATGCTCTGTAAGGAAAGTTACATGATGAGTTAACTGAGATTATCAGAAAAACATCTACTTGGTTTTCCCTGGAGGAGGAGGTCTCTTCTCTTGTTACTTGGCTTGTGTTTTGGGCTGGCTGCGCCTATATACAGAAATGGCCAATTCCATAAGCTTCCCAACTGGACCTTCTAGATGGACTGAGGCAAAGAAAGAATCCCAGTTGGAGAGACAGGGTGATTCACTGACTTGAGTGCATGAAGTGGCTACTGGTCAAGCTGAATTACTGCTGAGGCCATGTGTGCTTTCACCTCCATACCTCAGTCCATGGGCTTGACTGTACTTAGAGTGCTATTCCCTCTCTCCCTTCACCTACCTGCTCTTAAGATCAAGCTCAGTGTTGCCTCCTCAGTGAAGAGAAGGATTTGCTGATTTTGCCACTGTTCCTTTTCAGGCTCTTTGTAGTAGGTATCAGTGTGGATGGTGGTCACCATTTCTTGAGCACTTTCTCATGGGCCAGGCACTATGCCAAGCACTTGACATGCATGATGCTATATTAACAAGGTGGAGGGGCTCATGGCGTCTATGCCTTCAGAGATCTACAAGCAATGCAAGCTGGCATCCTCCCTCTTCTTTCTCTCCAACTCTCCTTGGCACAGTACAATTGCAGTGGTCAGCATGAATCACAACAACCAGTAACATGGTAATGCACAATGGGAAGAAGCAATTGCCATCAGTCTCTACTTACCTCCATTTCTTAGCACCTGTGCTCCTCAGCAAGCACGCCTCCTTTCCCAGGTAAATCAAATCAAATCGGTCCCTGACTTACTGATGGTTCAGATTTTTCCATTTTTATGATGGCATGGCAGTGATATGCATTCAGTAGAAGCCATACTTTGAATTTTGATCTTTTCCTTAAATTGCTAGCAATATGCAATGCAATATTTTCATGTGATGCCGGGCAGCAGCATTTAGCTGTGGCCACCTTTCCCCTGGGCAATTGTGAAGATGAAAAGTTCATGCTCTGTACTGTGTTGTGTTTCTAAGCTAGGATGTGTTTCAGTAGGATAGATGTTTACAATGCATTTTCGACTTAAGATATTTTCAACTTATGACAAGATTATTGAGATGTATCTCCATTGTAAGTCAAGGAGTATTGCATTTGTTCTTGTCCTGGCTATGGCTGCAGCAGAAAGAAGAAAAATGTCATCCAAAAACACACATATACACACAGCTGACGCAGTTGCTCTGAGTCCTAGAGTCAAGATTAGAGTTCGTGCACAGACTCCTGGACAGAGCTCTGGTGATCCTTTCCTTCACGGCTATAAATGTTTTATGGCTCTCTGTTTCACAGAGGCAGTTCAGGTATCCAATGTCTTCTGCTTGTGATTTGTTATCATTGGTCTGTTTGCCTCTTCTATAGTTTACTTTTTTTAAAATTAGAGAATTATAGTTACACATAGTAGATGGGCTCATTTTGACAAAATCATACATAAAAGGAATTTGATTTTAATCCCCATTTTCTCCTCCATAAACAATTTTAGCTTGATATGTTTACCCCAGAGAACAAGTAAGATCACTGGCCAAGATCACTCCATTTACCCATCAAATACTTGCTCTTTTTCTTTCTTTTTAAAACCTAAAAATTTTATTTATTTATCTATGTGGTACTGGGGATTGAACCCAGGGGCACTTTACCACTGAGCTGCATCTCCAGCCCTTTTTACTTGGTATTTTGAAATTTTGTGACAAGGTTTTACTAAATTGCCCAGGCTGGCCTTGAACTTGCAATCCTCCTGCCCTAGTCCACTGGATTACAGCTACTGGCACCAGCACATTTTTTTTTTTTTTTGAGTTAGGGTCTCAGTACATCTTCCAGGTTATTCTTGAACTCCTGGACTCAAGTGTCTCTTGTTCAAACATTTGTTTCTGAAACACATAACATCCATTCTGAACAAGTTGGAAAAAGTGTGCTCATGTTAACACTTGGGTTCTCAATCTGATGGCTAATTAGTTATTAAGAATTCTGCTATCCTAAAAGCAACATCTGTCAGTAGCATATGCTTTGTATAATTATCCTTAGTAAGAAAAATATGAAAATAAGCAAAATGTACCCTTCTGTTAGAGACAACCAAGAGTTTTGCTCTGCTACAGTAAACTTTTGCAGTCACTGACAGCCTCCATTAAGAGTTAGCTAAGCTGGATCCTAAATGGCAAAGAGTCAAGAAAGTTTTTGTAAGTACAACTTTTGTAAGTACAACCCACATATTCCTTCTGTGTTCTCTGTACCCATCCAACAAGGTGTCAGACCGGAAAAAAACAAAATAAAATAAAACACAAAACCAAGTAAGATTGCTGGCCAAGAGTGGGGTTTAACAAAAGTTCTGTATGATATTCCTCTTAACATGGCAGACTCCCCAAATTAAAAACATACCTGCTTGCTCAGTGGTGGCAAGTGGGGACCTTTCTCTTGGCTCCCCTGAGTGGACACTGATGCCATGGTGACTTTGTCCTTGCCTCTCTTCTTGTTGAGGGCTCTGACCAAATGGCTATGGAAAATAGAAAAGAATCACTGGACCTTGAAAAAATCACTTTCACCCCTAATCTCAATGGCACTTATTTGGAAAAATTACTTTCATTTTGTCCCTAGTCTTAACCATCTACAAACTTAATTTCTAATGTCAACCCCTCACACTACATATCCACATAACTCACTAATGGTGACAGATCATATTGAGAGTGAAATGTCACACTGTGCGTAGTGAACTGTTTTCCTGCCTATAAACTGTGTTCTAAAAAATAGTTTAATTCCACGACAAGGTCATTAACTGCCCAAACACTTATCAAATGTCTATTATGCACCGAGTCTGAGGATACAAAGTATAAGATTAAAAAAACTGCTGAAGGAATCAGAGTCTAAAGGGGAGGGCAGATAAATTGACAATTGTGTCATATGAGAAGCGTTCCTTCTCCTAGAGGCATGTATGGGGTGCTAAGGAAGGAGAGTGAGAACAGTGTTTTCTGTCTGCTAGGCCTAAAGGCCCCAAGGAGACTGACTTGTGAGATTTCAAGAGGATGTCCAGTGGGTGGATGGATTCTAGGGGCAGGAGGGCCAATTTGGAAAAATAATGCAATAGTCCAGGCAAGAAGCTGCAGAGACTGGAAATTAGATGCCAATAGGAAGAATAGGGATGATAAACTGGGGTTTGGAAATGTTGGATTTGGGTGCCTGGGTGCAAACAGTGGAATTAGTCTGGAGAGATTAGAATATTTGAGGACTGGGGTTTGAAGTTCCAGATGATTCATAGACTTGAGAGATAAATTTTGAATAAATGTATCTAAAAAGAATATTGGAGAATGTGAACATTGTACTCAAGGGAGTATTGACAAGGAAAAAACAAAAAAGAAGGCAGACTTAAAAAATGCAATGATCAAGTAATTACATAGTTCAGGAGATTAGATTTTGAGTTTGGCAAAGATGGACACACTCCAGGTAGGTCACAAGTCTCCTCCCACTCTCCTCAGAGGCCAGGGCTACATTCTGCAGCCCTGGCCTCAAGACTACTACTGACTTCCTGCAAAATGAACATCTTATCACACACAGTTCTGTTTCCTGCATTAATTACTAAACCATAAGGTGTATGAGCAAAGGTGGCCTCTACTTGCACCCAATTTCACTTTAGGTGCCCAATGTTACTGTAGAGGCAGCACAGTATCCTGTAGTGCTAAGTCTCTGAATTCAAATCCTGTCTCTCCCTTTTGCTAGCTCTGTACTTTGAGGCAAGTCAGTGTGTCTGTGCCTCAGCTTTCTCACCTGTTCAGTGGATACAATGGGCACAGCCCTCTTGAGGGGCTGTTGCCAAAATGAAGGATGAGGAATGAAGCCTATAGAAAGCCCCAGCTAAGGAGTCGGTACTCAGTGGGTATATGAGCAGCTGGGGCCCTGGGCACCTTATGTTTTGAGAACCCCTAGAAATTCTTTGCTGATCTTAGAATGTCTTTGCTCAATCAGGCATTAAATGTGCAAAGCTAGCACATCCTCCAGGTTTGGAGGTTAGGTTCCCCTTGCGCCCAGTTGTATTTGGGTCCACATCTAAGCAAGGCATCTGAGGGGCTGCCTTCCGAGTGCAGCTCCTACCACCCACACCCAGGTCGCACGGGCTTCTCCAGTAGTGGGGAAGGGGACAGGGAATGCTGACAGGTGGACATTGGCTGCAGGATGGGGGTGTTTGTAGGATGGACAAGGAGAGGTGCTATCCAGAAGTGACATACTGGAAACTGCGTCAACCCCAAGTTCCCCGAACCCCGACCAGGGCCACCCCCTCCCCGAGACGGTGTGGCTGATGGTCAGGGACCAGAGGCAGGAGGGAGCCAAGGGGTTGGAAAGCGGCCAACGCCAGCCGCGCACCCTTCAAAGGGCTGCATTGTCTATGCGCCTGTCCCGAATACCCCGAAGGAAAGCGGGCATCCCTCCCGTTGTCACCTCCCCCAACCCCGGGGCTCACCCATGGGGGTGGGGGGCGCTTCCCAGGCCGCGTCCCCGGCGCAGATCGCTTCCCTTGGCGGCTGCGGCCCTCTCCCGGCGCCTTGCTCACCCCCCTGCTCGCCCGCAGCCCCGCGCCGAGCCCGAGTCCCCTGTCCCCGGCGCCCCGGGCCCTCACCTTTCCTCGGCAGATCCCTCTCCTTCCTTCCTTCTTTCCTTCCAGCTTCTTTTGCTCCGCCCCCTCACCTCGCAGCTTATCGCTCGCTTGAGTCACCGCGTCAAAGTGCATCCCCACCCCCACTTGCAGCCTTTCTGGTGGCGACAATCGAGAGAGGCTGAACCCCAGCTTTTGCCACCACTCCGGTCCCCCCTCCATGGTCCCGGGCCCTGTTCTGACACCCGGCAGATTCCACCTCCTCAGGTCTATCCGATGACTCCCTCCTCCCCACCATCACAGCAGCAACCGTTTCCCCTGGCACCCTCCTGGGGGGGGGGGCAGGCCACCCTCCCCGTGTGCAGTCCGTTCTACAGCCCTTGAGGGTGAGCACGATTATCCTCACTCCACAGGCCAGGTTGTGCAAGGTCACCTAGGAGTCCCGAGTCACACTCAGGCCAGCTGGGTCCCTAGCTTGGTCCTCTGTCCATGGACTTGTCCCTTCTCTGCCACCTGCTACTAAACTGTGGGGGCAAAGTTACCTCCTGGGGGAGTGCCTTTAGGGCTCTTCCCTTGGCTGACAGACAGGGACTCCTTGGGGTGTTGAGATGGAGAGAGATTCTGAATCACAGTGAAGGCTCTCATCACCTTTTCCTTCTGTCCCCACCTGTCTCCACGACTTCAGCCTCAGCCCTGGCCCAGAGCTTGCCTTTCTTTGAGGCCTGCCACCCACCCAGGGCTTCTTTCTGTTCTTCATGCTCTCTCAGCTCTTTTCCACTCAAGCCCTGGCACGGAGGCCTCCCCTTGCCTGGATCCTCTCCCTAGGAAACCCGCCTGGTCCTTTCCTATTCGTGATTCCCTACCGTTCTTCAGCAGAACCTTTCATGTCGCCCAGCCCTGTAAAAATCAAACCTTTTTTTCTCTTTCACAGCACAGGCTGCTATTGTTTTCTCTTACAGCACTGTTCACAGTTGTTATTATGTATTTATTATGTGTACAGTTGTATAAAGCCTTCCCTTTCCTTTCATGAAGAACAGAACAAGATGGACTCTCTTTTGTTCACCATCAAGTCCTTTGCATCTCAGATATAGGAAGGCCTTAATAAATATTTCCTGAATAAACCATCTGGGTTCAAAGACTGTGAAGACACTGCTGTTTTTTGAAGATTTGTATCCACGACTCCCCCACTCTCCAGTAGGTTTCCTTAGACCTCATCTATTCATGTGATTTAGTGAGTTCTTTCTTCCAATAGGGTATTTTCTTTTCTCTTCACTCCTTTTCCTCTAAGTCAAAGGGTGCATAGTTCTGCTAATTTTATATTGTGTTGCTAGAAACCAGAAATGTGATTTGGCCATTTTATGGTCTGAAGGGATCAGCTTTGTAATTGGTTTTGTGGTATATATGAACAGCCCTCCATTACATTGAAGTCTACCTTGTAACAAATACTTGAAGAGGCATTTGTCCTTCAACTTCCTGCTTTAGTATAATTCATGCCCCAGCCCCCTCTACTTTCTGCCAGAATGTTCTAATAGGTCACCTTAGATAACTAGAAGTTAACATATGTAATGTGCATGGATTATGAGTTCCTCTGTTGGTGTACGTTGGGCAAATATGATGTACCCATGTTTCATTCTGAGCATATTCAGAGATAAAAGAGAAAAGACACAGTTCCTTTCCACAAAGCATTTGTTACTTTCCAAAAGATAGAAAATAACATAGACTTGGCCCTAGAAATTGGTTACACTGAATGGAACCTTTGTTATTTTTAATTCAGCATTCTACAAGAATTAAGGATCATGACTATAAAGCTGATTATTACTGGTTAATGATATAAAATAGTGACTAGTTTAGGAAGTGCTAAATGGATTATGGCAGGATCCAGCTTCGACTCTTTCTGTTGCCCTACATTGTCCTCAGGCAACGTCCAAATTTATTAGCAGGATTCTGTGTGATTAAGCTCTTGCCTGCCTCTCCAACATATCTATCTTAGGGCCTCCCAAGGGCCCTATTGAGTGACTGCTGTTCTCTTCTTTCATGCTTTTGCATGGGCTGTAATTCATCCTGAACCAAACTTCCGGCTTCTCCATCCCTCTGTCATTCACTCTTTAAAGACTGGACCATGGTGTCACCTTATCTTGGAAACCCTGTCAGACCCAAGTTTAATTCTACACTTTCTGCATTCCTGTTGCACTTTGCAATGGTATCTGATATGTCTCTGTGTCTGAATATATGGTTGTTTTTTTTTTTTTTTAGGTGTAGATGGACACAACACAATGCCTTTATTTTTTTTAAATTTTTTATTGGTTGTTCACAACATTACAAAGCTCTTGACATATCATATTTCATACATTAGATTGTAGTGGGTTATGAACTCCCAATTTTACCCCAAATGCAGATTGCAGAATCACGTCGGTTACACATCCACAATTTTACATAATGCCCTATTAGTAATTGTTGTATTCTGCTACCTTTCCTATCCCCTACTATCCCCCCTCCCCTTCCCTCACATCTTCTCTCTCTACCCCATCTACTGTAATTCATTACTCTCCTTGTTTATTTTCCCATTCCCCTCACAACCTCTTATATGTAATTTTGTATAACAATGAGGGTCTCCCTGCATTCCCATGCAATTTCCCTTTTCTCTCCCTTTCCCCCCCATCTCATGTCTCTGTTTACAATGCCTTTATTTTTATGTGGTGCTGAGGATTGAACCCGGGTCCCACCTGTGCTAGGCAAGAGCTCCACTACTGCTGAGCCACAATCCCAGCCCCTGAATATATGTTTCTTTATGCATATACATGTATATAAATGCAAGAGTCATAATCTGTATTAAACACTATGTGCCAAACTTGTATTGGTCAATTTTGTGTTCTTATAACAAAATACCTGGGACTTGGTAATAATAAAGAAAA